ATTCCAAAAGCTAGTTAAAAATCTATGTTGGGAATAATAAATTGATTCTTTAGCAGTTCTGGGTTAACAATTCAAGTTTTGTAGGCAAACGCAGCAGCCAATTTACCCACACCAATGTCCCTCGTCACATCTTTAGAGACATTTCACAGAATATACTGTAAAGTGAATTGACTATATTTTGTGGGCGAAACAGTGGCAGTAACTGGCCTCCCCTTTCCTACAGGACTGTAATTTTCAGTCTGATCTATTATAATAATCAGATCTATAATGAAAATAAGACATTTGGGCTGTAGCTTGAGATAAACTCTAAAATCGTGCTCAGCATGTCTTAGAAAAAGTTAAAGTGCACAGATGTACAATAAAGCGCAGTAACCGTGTATTTCGAAGGGGAACGTGTCAGATAATTGTGGGTGAAAAAACTATTTTATCTGGGGCATTGTTGGTCAGGACATTGGGATAAACTCCCTTCTCTTTTTGCATAGTCCTACAGGATCTTTAACATTCACTTGAACAGGCAGACCGTACTTCAGTTTAACATCTCAAAGATCTCCTCGCTAGCGGAAATCTAGTGATAAAACTGTTCCTTAACACGTTCCCTTCTTAATTACCACAAGGAACACTTTAGACTTGATGTGAAGTTTCCCCAATTACCTCAGTAATGTGCACACTGCACCGAGTCTCTGATCCTCACAGTCAGCAGCAGGGAGCCAAGTCTAATTGGGGAACAAATTATGATATTCCTTAACATTTTCCTTGTGTTGATAAGACAAGGAACACTAATTTTACTACATCAATAGACCAGTGCATAAGTGAGGTGATGGGAACACATACTGTTCTATAACTGCTAATATATCTCTCATTTTCTATCACAGATGTTCCCGGACTATATTGTGCAAGATCACAGTCATTACCTCTACCACCACCACCACCATCATCATGTAACATTCCCAGCTATAGGTTGGAGATTGCAGAAATATTGAGGAGCAAAAATGCAGAGGGACTTGAAAATCAGAAAGAGGATCTTGAAGTCAAGAGTGGGGGAGATGGGGTCATGAGCACATGGAGCCTATTACAGACAGGAGATGGATTGCAAAGTTCTGAACTGGAGCTTATGTACATTAGTGTAAGTATAAATCCTTTGGATGAGATGTTAAACAGAGCTTCCAACTGCCTGTTCAGTGGACCTTAAAGACCTTAAAGATCCCACGGCAACATTCAAAAAGAAAAGGGAGTCTCCTGGCCAACAATCTCCCAAATCAAAAAATTGGTCATTCACTTCATGGCTGTTTCTGGGACATTGCTATGCTGCTAAATTGCTTGGCTGCTAAAAATAGTCATTACATTTGACAATAAATCCTGTGAAACACTTTGGGACATCCTCCCAACCAAAACTATAACGATTATTATTATAGTTATTAAATTGTATTGCATTGATCTGTATCAGTAAGTTTATACAATGGTCTGAGGCAAGTGAATACATTAACAGGTACTAAAATGTATTTAATTACAAACAAATGAAGTAGAGAAGACATTGTGATATCATCAGCTTTTATTCAGTAAAGTTTGCAAACGCACCAATATAACCAAAACGTTTCAGCCAGGTTTTAGTTTATAACACTTCTGAAGTTCCTTTAACCATCAGCAAAAAGCAACCATTTCAAACAAAGACAAAACAATGGAAAATGTAGTTCACATAAAACAAATGCACAAAAATCAAGATCCATTGCACCACATTCCCTTCATTAAATGTTTAAAAATTATTGAAACAGAAGCAAAACCAAGTCCAACACAGAAGCTGCCCAGCTTTTCAGTCCCTTCAAGTTTGTCGTTGTGCATGTATATATTTATATATATATTTATATATATATATATATACATATCCCTAACAAAACTAAGTAACAAATAAATTGAGTTAACACTATTTTAACCTGAGTTGTTAAACAGAACGATTAACGGATCAGTGCATTTGTTAAGCATTACTGGGCTCCACTTACTAATTGTAAAAATACTTGATGCTGGACTTGGGAAGGGTATATGTTTGGGGATGGAAGGGAGAGAAACAGTGCAAAATATTGTTCACATTAAAAAAAATATCATTACAAAAATCCTCAGATAATAAAAGGTGTTTGTCCAGCAAGAATATATTGGTACGTCCATGCCCACACAGCCTTGTGCTCTGCAGCATTGCCACACAAACAGTGAAAGCCGGCACACAGTCGTTGCTTTGCATCTGTGCCTTTGGTCAGTTTCACAATAATTGATAATCTTACTGGCCTATTTTTAGAAAACAAATAATTTCAGACTGTATTTGCAGCATTTCCTTAGATTCCAGTCAAACTCATGAAATTTCTTGTTCTCTGGAAGTTGATCAAATGGGAGTGAAGTTGTTATGGGATGTTGTGATGCAATTGCAATTACCAGGAGACCTCCGCAATCTCCCCCCCCCCCCCCCCCCCCAACACAAACACACCTGAACAATTTTGAACAACTTCCAGGAATCCCATTAAGAAATCCTCCAAATTAGGTTCCAGTCCAGCAACCAATATTCTCTCCCACTTCCCCGCACTCCCCCCAAATATTCCAGATGACAATGTTAAGAATAAAAGTACTTTCACTGCACCAAGGAACTAAGTCGCTATTCTCTGGAGAGAGAACACTAGACAGTGAGATCCGTGCAGCCCCGTTTACTAATGTTTAACAAAGGTCAAGTCTCATTTCAGAGGAGGCTGTGGCTTCCCTGACAGTCAAATCCACCAGTGATGACCTCCAAGCAATGGCAAAAGTGAGGTTTTGATTTCTTGAGGCACAGTTTAATGAATAGTGCTGGAGAAACAAATTAAGGGAAAGAAATATAAGGTAGAAAAGTAAGGAATTTACCGCCTACTGCAGGGATAAAACAGTCAATTCACTTTACTGTATATTCTGTGAAGCGCTTTGAGACATCTTAAAGATGTGATAAAGCACTAAACAAACATAATTTCTTGTTATATCAAAGGGCAAGGATCATTATCAATACTAATCTATACTAATAAAGACAAAATGTGTCTGCCCGCCAAGAACGCAATAACCGATTGATGTAGAGACATGATTTATACCTAATCGGAAAGGTCTTGCTATGGGGAGCGTCATTGTATATATTTTTCGGGGATCTCCTATCAATGATGAGTTATATTTTAAAAATGCTTTAATTAAGCCCCAAAATATGCATGGTACTCTGCAACAAAGTAGTGACTGAGGAAATCACACACCCTTCTAGAAATACATTTATACCAATATATTCTGCAACAAATTAGCGACAAAGCTATGACCTGCAAGCTCATCACACATGTATGCACTCCAACAAGGAGTCCTCCCAACAAGGAGTATAGATAAAGACGAAATATCTGTCTGCATGTCTGTCTGGGTGTCAATCTACATTCTATATTGGATCCTTTGGTTGCAAGCGAAGCTGCAACAGGTACAGCCAGTTATTATTATAAAGACCATTCAAGAAACATTGTTGGAATTGTATCATTGCCAAGCTTGGGTTACATTAACAGAGAAATAGATAAGTTGATTTGGACACTTTGGCACCCATATGAATCTGACTTGCAAACATGTCTGAAATTTTAATATTTAATAAACACAATACCTTTTATTGATTTAATAAAATCAATGATTTAATAAAATCAATGGCATTTTTAGCAGTAGAGGGTGAAATTTACGGGATTCCTTGTAATAACCATCACTGGCACAAAGCACTGAATGGTAAAATAAGTCCGTGATTGCAAGCTGGCATTAATTGTAGCTAGGGATGGCTATTATGGCACATCACAGTGAATTGGTAAGCCATCCAATGAACAATAGCTATTCACAAGGAGATGTCCAATTTCACACCTACATATTTTAAAAGCATCAACTGTACATTTAATAACACCATAAATCAAAAACTTCATCTCTCAGCAAGAATCAATCCATCAGCACTAACTGAATATCGGGGGAATTCATCTTGTGACCATCTGGGGCATTTTGAATGTAAATTTGCTTTTAAGAACAAATGGAAAGTGAAGATGTATGAATAACCAAATAAGCATTCATTATATGGGAGTGAACACAAGTTACAAGTCCATTTCACTTAATTGTTCAGCAAGTATTTACACTTACAAAATTCCAGTGTTCATTTCCAAATAGTTCCAACTATAAAATGCTTCAAAACCTACTTGTTAAATACCTATTACAGTGCATGGAAACCAAAGGAGAGAATACCCAGTTTATTCAAATGCTTCTGACTGTGTACACACACAAGCAGGTACACAGCATTTCTCATCAGAGCAGCGTGGCAAATACAGTAATCTTAGCACGCAAGTGTGAGTTAGCCCAGTGTCTCACATGGAATCCCTTGCACAACCTGTCGCCCAGATAGATGGCATTCATTCTTTAACTTCACCAACATTATCAAAAATAATGAACATTCAAGAAATGTGTAGTAACAGGCAGATGTGCAATGTTTCCTGTGGTCTGCAATGATAGATAATGCTCTTAGTTCAAACACTGCCTCTTGGTGGTGAGTCTGGTGTTTCGCATTTGTGAATTATTCTATTTCTTTACATGTGAAACGCTGCAAAAAACTTTTTGAATTGCACTTATTTTTTTAAAATATCACTTCATTTAAACTTCCTTAAACCTGTTTGGTTAAGAGCCATTCATTAATTGAATGCAATCTTCACAGACCTCATTCATTTGTTAAGTATTTGCATTTTCCTGGTGTTAATGTGCTGAGATCTCATACAGGGTGTTCACAAAATCCTGTTACAAAACAGTGATACGAGACTATGGAGGAGCTGAAAAAGCTGTCAGAGATGCATTTCACCTCCTCACCCCATCATGTTATAGAAGATGTAGAACCGAACGTGGTGATGAAAATCTGTCATGAAAATGTTGGCGCTCACTCACACCGATCCTCTGTACATCTAAATAGTTAAACACTTGTAATGAATACAATTAAGTACTTCTAAATACAATGATCATCATTCTTCTACGTGTTTCAGTTGTTGGTCAGTGCACTGTAGAAACAAAAACATGGGGTGACAGGACTTTATGGACACCATGAATAATGCACAGTATGCGAGTACATAATCTCTGACCTATCCCACATCCAGTACTTCATTCAATAAATGGATCCACTCGTCTATGATCAAATTAGAAGACAAAGAGATCATAGGTGCTGACCCAGCTGGATGGGAAGGTCCATTCTGGAAATCTCCTCTCCAGAGCTGTCAGTTCTGCTGTCCACTGATCTTCTCCAAAGAGGTGATGAGAAGCTATAGCAACACTGACCGTGCCATTAGGTGTTGGCTCAGGAGTCTGTGGCAAATCAAATGAAAAGTCAGACAGTCTGAAATGGCTGGGCTATTGAACAGTGGTACTGAATCAAACTGAAGAGATTCAGACATCCTTTACTGAAAGATATAATTTCCATTCATATGGTGGTTTCAAATCGGGAGGGTATCTAAAAACACTTTGTATAGTGACCAGACACCTGAGTTTTGCAGCTGAGGAGGAATATTTATTATAACGAGATTGTGGGATCTCTTTGGGGCTGAGCTGGCTCCACGTGACAGTACCTGAATATCTGAATCAAATCAATTTTTGCTGGTTAAACTCCAGTATTACCCTCAATGCAAACTCCGGGGTCCTCAAGCCTTCACTCTCGCCAACTGCATATAATACTTTCCAGGATTAGATAAGCAGGGAGCATCCCTCAGGGGAGAGAATGCACAGTCTACGCCAAACAAATGGAACTTATCATGCACATGGAAGTAGTTTGATATATATTTCAATATAGTGATGGGTTTCCACATGTGCCCAAATTTCTTTAAAAACAATAGCTCAGTGTAGTGGTTGTGTTGCATTTCCATGTGTCAGACTATATACAGATGGATGGTTTTGGTTCAAGCTAACTTTTGTGACTTGTTTTTTCAATTAATACCTGAGCTCAACTTTGTCCATTCATTCTAAAAGAGGAGAGTAACAGTCATAAATTAAAACAAAAGATTGGACCACCCTGACATAAATCAATGTTAAAAAAACAAAAACAGCTTTGGGAAGAGAGGTAGAATGTAATCGTTAGGGTGCACAGCAGGACCAGAACAGTTCATTGCTGTCCTCCTGGTTTAATGGCCACAAGCTAATATCAACTCCCGTGACAGTGGGGAGGAATCTGGGGGATTTTTAATTTAATTTTTTGTTTGAAAATTATCCCACAACTTCTTTTTTTCACATTACCAAAAATTGAGATGATTCCTTTTATCTCCATAAATAATAATAAACAGTACTAATAATATGGTCACTTAATCCACGATTATTTGTGGGACATTGCTGTGCACAATTTGTCTGCCGCGTTTCACCAACAAACATACTTTACAGTACATTCTGTGAAGCGCTTTAAAATGTCTCGAAGACGTGATAAGGTGCTATATCAAACGCAAGGATTATTATATTATTATGGTAATACAGGGCTGTTTGGGAAATGCCATCATTACCTGCAACTCTAACCAAAACTGCCACGCTGCCGCCTGAAGTCCGTGGGAATAGAACACAAAATATTCTCCTTCGTTGCTGTACATAGGATCCCCGTCTCCAAAAGACCAGCCGACCATCGAGGTTCCTTCATGTGGCCGAATGTATAGTGTCATATGACACGGGCCTATGTGAGTCGGGGGGGGGGGGGGGGGGGGGGGGAGTTAGAGAAGAACAGTAGTTAATAATCACAACATGTACCTACACATCACTTGCTTTTCCAAAATAAACTTTGAACACAATTTAATGTTCATTTTCCAAACACAACATGGGAGAATCAAACACAACGTTGAAGTCAGAGAGAGGCCATGTTCTGGGAGAAGAATCGCAGAAAGCCGGCAATTACAGTAGTCGTTATATAATACTTGCATTTGATATTGTGCTTATTACATCATTGCAACATCTCAAAGTGTTTCACCGAATATACTGTAAAGTGAATTGACTGTATATTTACAACTACAACTTTCATTTATATATGTCTCAGAGCGCTTAAAATGAGTTGCAACACGCTTTATTGAGAAACTTTGTTTAAAACATGTTTTTCAAAACATGCAGAGCCCTTTCGTTTCAAGTGGGCTCAGCGACCCATTCGCTTCCCAATAACTCTCCAAGTGAAAAATAATTCTCCTGAGCTCTCCTCTCACTATCTTTATTCAATTTATGTCCTCTGGTCACTGACTCCCTTACCAGTGGTTATTCAAAATCAAACAATTCCCGTAAAAAGGAAGCTATGTTTCCACAAAATTCAAACAGGTTTCAAGCAATATTCACAAAAAAGGAATTCACTTTGTTTTAACAAAACATAATGACATTTAAAACCCTGAAATCATTTAAAGTCTCAAGACTACAGTCTTAAAATGTAAGGCCATTTAGAACTTTTGGAAAATTCTGAAATGCAGTCTCAGTTTGAAAAAATCTTTGAAATTAAAGACTGAATTTAAGAATCATCCAATATTTAACATTGTTTAAAGCCGAGACTGAAGACCACAAGAGATTTTTGAGCCTTAGGCACGGTACAATGTGAATATCATATGAAAGCACACTGACACAGCACGCTATAGGACTAAAGTGCAAGGCCACAGAGATTGGTGGAATGTTGATTCTTACCAATGCTGCTGTGAGGAAATACCAAGAGAGGGAAGGGGGAGGTACAACGGCTACCTTTCTGTCTATAGTGAACATCTGACTCAACAGTGGCATATTATGCTTATGTAATACTGTTGTGAGTCTAATGTCTCAAGAGTTCAGCAGAGAGAACTCTAATCAAATTACAATATCAAATGATGATTTACTGAGCAGCCTTCCCACACCTTCCCCTGACTTCTGAACAATGAGAGCAGAGCAGCAAGTGCGTATCAATCGAGCCAATTTCCAGTCCACTTTTGGAGCTTCTTCGACTCCCTGTTTTTTTTAAGAATTGTGAAATAATTTCCTGTGCAACACTGTGTCAAAAGCTTTGCTGGAATTTAGATATAGTAGGGACAGTCACTTAAGCCGGACAAAACGGTCGGCTCCAATGTGTCCAGTTTAAGCGGCTTCCATTGATTAGCCATCCAGTTCCCCTTATCCACAAGTTATCTCTTTAAAAAAAATTCCAGTAGATGCCTTCATCATAAAGACGTGCTGAGTCTCACTTACAATTTGATGTTTGTCTTTGAGACACCTGCACTCCTGTCTGAAACTGCACCTAGTTTTAGTCTACAACGCTAATGTTTCTTAACAATGTTTCTTAACATTGTTTCTTTAAAGTTGCACAGAATTGTGTAGAATTCTTAAATTAAGACTCAACCGAGAAGCTGGTTTTCGTTTAGAACTGCGGAAATCTGACTTCCAAATTGAGACTGAATCTGAGAATGTTCCAATTCTGCGTAGTCTTAAATTTGAAGACAAAATAGTTCCATAAGCTAAGACGGGGTGGAATTGTGGGCCTTTGATGTCAGCCTCTTCAGCCTGCAGTTCATTGCTTGGGATTTTTACCCTTTTTTGGTAAATTAGTATTATGTTCCCGGTTCTCGAATCCTAAGGTACAACACCAGTTTTCAATAGGAGTCTAAACATACCTGCCAATACAATTTCACTTTCATTACAAGTGACCAATTTCATCCGTCGCTTTCTTAAGTACCCTCGAGTGCACTCGATCAAGGCCTGGAGCGCTCAATTCTTTTAGCCTGTCAGTCAAGCCTTTATCAGTAGGTTAAGCGATGGTCCAGCAAAAAATTAAGCCATAATAAATAGGAAAGTCCACGCCCAGTTTGAATCTCGTCTTGTGCTGAATTAGTTAAGCTAAGGCCAGGTGGTAATTGGGGCATAACAGGTGACCTCCGTACCTTTGGGTTAGAGAAGTTGACAGTAATAGACACAATTTCTACTCCTGAGTATCCCCAAAGACCCTGTCGTAAAGCACAAGTACTCAGTCCGCAAGGACAGAATAGTCTTGACACACACAAGTGAAAATGTGCCACTTAGGGAAGCTGTGCACAATTGGCTGTCACGTTTCGCCCACAAAATACAGTCAATTCACTTTACAGTATATTCCGTGAAGCACTTTGAGACGTCTCAAATGTGATGAGGCACTATATCAAATGCAAGGATTATTATTATCCGAGAACAATTTTCCTCAGGCAAATACTGAAGATGAACTGGTGCTTTTACCAGGTAGGACTGTGCGTGATTCGGCCCTCTATAACCTTCTTCCCACACGTGTGTTGGCTGTTTCTCCAGACCTGATCTCCCAACTCGGTTGTCTATTTTATTTGCCCCCTATTTTTACTTTCTACTCCTTCCTCTCCCTCCTCAATTTTCCCAAACTTTTAGTTACTTCAAATGCACCCAATTCATTGTTTGTTTATGGAAAATTGCTGTAACAGAGTAGACACCACTTTTGTCTATAAAACGGATTCTTCATTTTTAAAATCAATTTTATTTTATAAAGCGCTTGATCAAGAGGTTTATTTTACTTGAAAAATGCTATAAAACAGCAAATCATTATTATTACTTTTTTGTACACAGATTTACAAAATGCAAACATTTCCACAGTGTTTGCTTTTCCTTGATGCACAATAAACTTTCACAAATATAAAATGGACTATCCACAGAAATGGACTCTCAAAAATTGGGTGGTACATCATACCTGTGACCTCAAAGATTAATTTTGTGGAGTCCCAAGGCATCACTTGCTTGGAAACCAGTTTGAAAACAACAGGGGTCTTGGGTGAAACTTCAGAAGCAGGTAAGTACCAGTTTTTCCTGAATGACAGAATAAAACCAGCAAATAGGTTTGAAGGAAACATTTCCTCAGGAAGCAGAATCAAACATTGCTCATCATTACTCACAATAACATCACATCTGTACTTCCACAAATCTGACTGACCTTTGAAAAGCAACAAAAATATTACCCAAAATCAAAAACTTGTGCCCAGACTGACAGTAGACTTTGGTTATGGCGGTAGATTTAGGCAGGTTTACCACAACCAACTGATTGTGGAGGCTGAACAGAAGAGGCTGGTGCTACTGCTGTAACCAATAAAACCAAGACCCCCTAGTAATGACTCATTGCTAACTGACTGACGCAGTTTGGTTTGACAAGGAAAGAAAGACCTCAAAATTGAACACAGAGCAGAGCCATGGGTTTGAAAAGCAACAAAAAAGTCAGCCAGACTCATTCAGCCTCATGACCAGCACAGGAAAAAAACTCCCCCTCTAAGTCCCCATCCACCATGATCAACAGCACACCCAACACTCCCACCCAACAAACACTCAATCTAGCCTTTCAACTTTAGGAGAGGAGGATTAAAAAAAAGGAATTGACAAAAATATCTCTCACCTGATGAGGTTTTGAACAGGCAGATACCAAGGAAATCCACAAAAAGGGGCATTCTCACATGAGGTTCTTATTGTACTATTTATTTCCGGTATATGTGGGGTAACATGGGACATGAGAGTGTAATCAAATGCATTAATCCATATTCCAGAATCTCTCTTGATAATTTCCCCACCAAGGTCTCGGAATGTCCTTGTTGTGTGCTAAAGTGGAGAAAGGAAGGGGGGAGAGAAACAACGAGAAAGCAAATTACTGGAAACTACTAAAAAGAAAGGCCTTCATATCACTTGTCACAACCCCCACTCTGGATGACATCGGTGTGAGAAAAGATTGGAACTATTTGTTATCCTGAAATGCAGTAAACTATTCTTGTCTGCTTTTGATCAAGTTCACATGTTGTACCTTTGATCTACTGATTATGTTTGATCTATTTCCTCCGCTTAGGTCCTGAAATATGTCCTTATGAAATTTATAATGAACAACAATCCTTGCATTTCATATAGCACCTTATCAGGTCGTCAAAACGTCTCAAAGCACTTCACAGGATATACTGTAAAGTTAATTGACTGTATTCTGTCGGCAAATTTCCCCGTTTCTAAAAAGTAATTAAATACAACCAATAATTAAAATAAATGCGAGTAGATGTGTTGATTGGGGTTGCGATGTTGTCCCAGGAAATCCATAGTTAGGTGTTCCTCGAGGGCAAGAACTAACATCTCGGTGTCTAGAAATGGTATAATTCAGTTTGAAGTGGAATTAGCATGAGCTGTTTGGTTTAATGGTTTGAAGGAACTGATTAAAGGAATAGGGCAGTAAATCAGGTTAGAACTGTTTAAGTGAATTTAGAAACAAAATCTCTCTGTGGCACCAGGACAAGTAAGCACTGTGTGCTTGCTTGCTTATTTATTTAATTATTAGGTCTCAATTTATCAACTTGAATGTGCTCACCTCAAACCACCTGCAGAGGATCTCAAAGATAGTGATTAGAAAAGTGCCCATTCCCGCAATCACTATTGTCAAGCACTTCTTCATGAGTTGACTTGTTATTTCCAGTTCATTAAGAACTGCTGTCACCATGCTCATTTATTAGGGACTGAAACAAAATGTATAGTTCACCAACAGGAAAATCCTTAAAAGAATCAGTGCCTCATTTTGAGGCCTGTTTTCCTTCCTATAGCTTTAAGCAGGTAGATTTGTGTAGCTCTGATTTGATCCAATCCAAATCTAATGTTGAGGAACTACTTTCAGATATGCCAGGGCAGCAGAATAAGGGGGCACGGGTTCAAGATTGCAAAGGGCAACTTCTGGAACAGACATCAGTATCTCTTTACCCAAAGGGTACTTAAACAACTGAAATGGGTAATCAGGATGGGTAATTAAGGTCAGAACACTGGATTCATTGAAGAAACAGCTTGATGCTATGTGAGGATGGTGGGTGGGTTGGAACAATACGATCAAATGTCTCAAAACGCTCCTCTTCCTTCAGCCACCCTCCTACACTCCCTGCCCTCCACCCTCCCAGATCCCCACACCCCCCAGCTTGGGTCCAAATCCCTGACTGTCCAGTGCCCTTGGGACGTCCTCCCAACATGAAAGGCGCTTTACAAATATAATTTTGTATTGTAAATGGGCCGAAGGGACTTCTTCATCCAAACAGATCTTATGATCGCTTGGGTTTGAATCTTCAAACCCCAATAATAAATACATAATAATAAAGAGAGCTTTATCAACAGGTCTACAGAGTAATGTAGGATCAGTCTAACAATTCATAGAATTATCAGCTCAATTGCCCTGTATTCAGTAGTGTGGTGGAACTAAAAATGAATAATTTCAATTTATACCCAATAGTTTTATTCTCCTACACATTAAATTACTTTAAAAAGGAAGCAACTACTTTCGGACAAGCTGAGCTTCTCTTACCTGAAGATAGACACGCTTTGGGTGGGGACTATCGGGGTTAGAGGAATAGGGAAAACATGCTCCACTGCACACAAGAACGGCTGCAGCAATAAACACAGAACCCAAAGTCAACAGTGTGCGTTTCGTACTCCTGCACAGGTAAATCAGTCCGACCTGAAAATAACAGATATGCGGTGAAAAAGCTACAGCCAAGAACACAAAATGACTGCATATCATGAAGTTATGCTGCAATTTACCTTCAATATTCCACAGGTGGAAAGTGCTCCACAATAGATATGAGGTGTGAAAAACAAACTGGAGGAATAAACTCTCCTGAAGTATTCAAAAGGTAAAATATCTTAACTCCTTATTCGATAGGTGGCAGGGATGTTGGTTTGGAATAAAAACTGTTGATAAATAGTTAGCTGAACTCCTGCACCCCCTCACTCTCTATCCCCTTCCCACTGAGTATTAATATTCACATACTTTTAACACCATGAAACATGACCACTTACAAAATAAGCAAGCAGTGAGAATAATGATCCATCACAGAGGCCAATATAACATCAAGGGATATCTCAGTATTGCTTTGGCTCAGGGTGGGAGGGGAACTGTATTTTTGGGGACTATCCCTGGATGTAACATAGGTCCGAAACCTAGACAAAAGGTCAAGTGAGTTGACCTGAACGACCTTCAATCATATTTCTCAGGAGTCGATCCAATTCTCTTGTACTCACAAGAATATTTCACTATTGATACATTAGAATATACAGCACAGAAACAGGCCATTTGGCTCAACTGGTCTATGCCAATGTTTATGCTCCACATGAGCCTCCTCCTGCTCTTCCTCAACTAAACCTTCAAGCATAACCTTCTATTCTTTTCTCCCTCAAGTACCTATCTAGTTTTCCCATAAATACATCTATGCTATTTGCCTCAACAACTCCTTGTGGCAGCATGTTCCACATTCCTACTCCTCTCTGTGTGAAGAAATTTCTATTTGATCTATTTGTGACTACTTTGTGATGGCCTATTTGTGATGGCCCTGGTTTTGGTCTCTCCCACAAATGGAAACATCTTCCCTATGTCTACCCTATCAAAACCTTTCATCATTTTAGACTTCTATCAGGTCACCCCTTACCCTCATCTTTTCAAGAGAAAAGAGTCCAAGCATGTTCAGCCTTTCCTGATAGGTATAACCTCTCAGTTCTGGGATCATCCTTGTGAATCTCCTTTGCACCCTCTTCAGTGGCTCTACACCCCTTCTATAATGTGGGGACCAGAACTGCACACAGTATTCTAAGTGTGGTCTAACCGAGGTTCTGTAGATGTTTACCATAACTTCCCTGCTTTTCATTTCTATCCCTCTAGAAATGAAACCCAATTCCTGGTTTGCTTTTTTTATGGCCTTATTAACCTGCGTTGCTACTTTTAGTGAATTGTGTATGTGTACCCCTAGATCCCTTTGCTCCTCTACCCCATTTAGGTTTTTATTTTCCAGGATGTATGTGACTTCCTTATTCCTTCTACCAAAATGTACCATTGAAATGCCCATTCAGCAAGTTTATTAATGTCTTGCTGTAATTTGTCGCAGTCCTCCTCTGTATTAACTACTCCCCCCAATTTGGTGTCGTCCGCAACTTTTGAAATTGTACTACTGATTCCCGAGTCCAAATCATTGATGTATATTTTGAACAGCAGTGGTCCCAATACTGATCCTTGTGGAACACCATTGCCCATCCCCTGCCAGTCTGAGTAGCTACCCTTTACCCCTACTCTCTGCTTTCTGTTTTGTAGCCAGCTTGCTCTCCGTTGTGCTATTTATCGCCGACTCCACATGTTCTGACCTTATTCCCTGTAGCTCAGTGGTTAGAGCACTCGCTTTGCAAGCGAGAGACCTGAGTTCAATTCCAGGCAGAGGGCGAAACCTTGGGCAAGTTTCCTTACTCCACACAGAGCCTAATAATAATCCCTCCAAAAAACAAAAACAATAATTAAATTGGTCATTTTCAATCTATGACTGTTTGTGGGACATTGCTGTGCGCAATTGGCTGCCGCGTTCGCCCACAAATATACAGTCAACTCACTTTACAGTATATTCTGTGAAGCGCTTTGGGACGTCCTCCCGACGTGAAAAGCGCTATATCAAATGCAAGGATTATTATTATATTATTATTATTATTCGTTAGTCTATTACATGGTACCTTATCGAACGCCTTTTGGAAATCTAAATATGTTACATCTACCGCATTATCCTTGTCTACTCTTTCTGTTACCCCTTCAAAGAATTCATTGAGGTTGGTCAAGCATGACCTTTCTTTTTGAAATCCGTGCTGACTATTCTTTATTATGTTATTAGAATATTAGATTGATATTGGATAGTCTTGGTTTCCATTACACATTTCCATGGTAAAAAAAATCAAGCCCTTTCTTTCCTTGTAAATGCTTCTTGGATATATTTAACACAACATGACAAATGTTCCTTGCAACCTGCACACTCCAGCACAGAAGTAACGCCTTCAATACCCAATCTTTATTGTACATTAAGCTATTGTACACAGCTTAAAGTCAGTAGGTAACATGCAACAGGAATACCTCCACAATTTTATTTATACATTTGTTGGAAAGCGACTACTGATTCATCTACAGTAAACTCCTGATAACTCATCACTCCAAGGGAAAAGAGCTCGGTAACTAGTGATCCGGAATGGATAGTTACTCATAGGTCCTCCCAGGCCACAAGCAGGTACTGTGACTGCGGTGGGGGCTCAGCAGAGGTTGGGGTCACATGCTTAGATGTATTGCAGAGGCCTCTGGTCTATTGAAGGGTGGTGCTGTGGCCTCTCACCCTGTCCTGTCATAGAATAGGGCACAGGGCGCGACAGGAGGCCTAGGTGTGTTCCTCCAATAGACCAGAGGCCTCTGTGAAGCATCTGAGCGTGTGAACCCAACCTCCACCAAGCCCCCACACCAGTCACAGGAAAGGGCAAGAGGCCTTTGGATGCAAGACGCCATATTATAAGACAAGTTATCTGATTAATTTTGCATTGTCGTTACATACAAGAATTTCTAGAAGGTGTTGAGTTATGCGTTAAGTTTAGTGACAAGCAAAGTGGTGTTCCTTATTAACATTTTTGGGAAGCAACCGGCATATTGGCAAGCATGGCCACTTAAGCGGTCGTGACAATAGTAATTATCAAGAGTTTTGTCTTGTTATCAGGAGTTAACTGCATTTAATGTGTAATTGCTCCTTTAAGCCACAACCCCATTTTAATAATAATCCTTCCATTTGATATAGAGCCCCTTATCATGTGTTCGAGATGGCTCAAAGCACTTCACAGATATACTATAAAGTGAATTAATACTGTATATTTTGTGGGAAAAATGCGACAGCCAATTTTTAGCTAACCACAACAAACTACATCTTTATCCTGCCTCCCTCTCTCTCCCCTTGTTTTTCCCCTCCATTCTAAACATTAATACTTACAAAATAAGCAGTGAGAATAATGGTGCACCCAGCAATAATAGAGGCCAGCACAATATCAGGTGGTATCTCAGTACCACTTCGACCCAGGATGGGGGTGAACATTTCAAACGCACTCCACATCAGGTACATAGTAAGTAGATAAGGAACAAATAGTCCCAGAAAATAAATGGCTGTAGGTTTCACCATAGAACCTAGGATTAAAGCACAAACAATTAGAAATTAAAGTGTCACAAAATGCTATCAGATTAGCAACAGTTTCTCTCAGATGATGCTCAGGCTCCCACTCAGTCTCTGTGAAGTGCTTTAAGGACACTATCCTATGAGAGAGGCGCTATACAAGTGCAAATTGTAGCTGTATATTCACGTAAAAGAATAACTAATTTACAAGAATAACATGTGTAGACAATAATAATCTTTGCATTTGATATTGAGCCTTATCACATCTTCGAGACATCTCAAAGGGCTTCACAGAATATGCTGTAAAGTTAATTGACTGCATATTTTGTGGACGAAACACAGCAGCCAATTACAAAAAACAGTTGTGGATTAAGTGACCAACTTATTATTATTATTTATTTTTTTGAAGGACATTTTATCCCCGGAAAAGTGATCCGCCAATCAACTAACAACTGTGTTCCTACATATTGTTAGGTAAACAGAGGCGTGTAGAGTAAGGAAACTTGCCCAACATTTTGCCCTGCTGGGAATCGAACCCAGGATAAATGAGGCTATTATTATGTACTGCAATAATGGCATTTTTTAAGTTGGAGGTGTCTAAGTGAAATGCGTATCCAGCATTGAAAAGACCATTGAGGTGCTTTGTTCTCCTTAACCTCAAGTACACCTCAGACTCCCTCCAGTGGTCTGCCTATGGAATGGTATGTGGTGCTCTTTGGCTCCACGTGCTGGGGAAGACCTGCACCTTCACATCATATCTGGAGTATTTGAATACTTGTGCAACACTGGAACGTCATAATAATAATAATCATAATAATCCTAGCATTTGATATAGCGTATCAATTGTTGAGATGTCACCACAATGCCATCACAACCTTGCCAACACTTTTAGCATAAAATATTTTGCCAGGTGAGGAACAGGATGACTAAATGCAGTGTAAAAGCATCCTTCACCATTTCCCAATAGGCCAATGGAAACATACCTCTTCACAAATCACTGCTCTCAGAACACGAGGAGTGTAAATTGTTGAGGAGAAACATTAACTAATGAGAGGTTCTGTCTAACCCGTACCTCACTAGACATGGAAAACAGTGGAGACATCAAGAATCAATCATTCTTGTTCCTTCATGAAGTGCAGTGTTTGTATTCTCTGCATTTGTGATCCAAGCACAGGACTCACACTCAATGTCAGCACTTGAGATTTGAACAGTGGAAATCCATGGACATAAATTATTTAAAGGAGCTCTTTCTTTTTTTACGTGAATGGTTAAGAGTGGTTATTATGCTACTTACTGGCTTTAACAGATTTGGTAGATTAAAAACAGCATTAACTCCTCCCTTAGTACTGTAACTAAAATCAATAACTATTATTCTGCTGTCTATCACTCTGAATTTCTCAGATTGTGGGTTAACCACATTTCATAAATACAGGAACAAAATGAGAACAATGAGCCGAATCGGGCCACTTTATTAAATCATGGCAGATTTTTTAATCTCATTTCCCTGTCTTCTCTCCATAATTCAACCACATCTAGCTTTAATTAAATGTTCACCTGCGCCTCGAGCCTACTCCCAACAGAAGTATGGGACGCAAGCACACGTTACTGCGGGTAATGTTCTTAATCTTACACTGGTTGTCAGAGTTACAGCGCATTGAAGTGAAGATCGGACGGTACAGGCTTACCATTTTGCTTCAGCTTGTTTCCAATTAGTAGCCTTGTAAGCAGAGGAAAGGCAACCCAGAGTCCAGCCACATAGGCTGAACATAAGTCTCGATGGGTGAAGTAAAGCAAGACGCAACACCAGATGGTCAGCGTCGCATCATAATACAGCTCTGCCAGCAACAGCAGGTTCACTCTCTGTTTTAAACAATTCAGATCACAATTTACTAAGACTTCAGTAGTATGTCCACAGTGGTTGGACTTAATAATAATAATAATCCTTGCATTTGATATAGCGCTTTTCACGTCTTCTAGACATCCCAAAGCGCTTCACAGAATAAACTGTAAAGTGAATTGACTATATTTGTGGGCGAAACCCAGCAGCCAATTGCGCACAGCAATGTCCCACAAACAGTCGTGGATTGAAAATGACCAATTTATAATTGTTTTTGTTTTTTTGGAGGGATTATTATTAGGCGTGTGGAGTAAGGAAACTTGGTTTCGCCCTGCCTGGAATTGAACTCAGGTCTCTCGCTTGCAAAGCGAGTGCTCTAACCACTGAACTACAGGACTCCACATATGCAGAGTCTTCTCTTTGCAGTAGTAAAGTTAAAATGTACACACCGTTGGCCAAAGATCAGAGATTGAAGAAGCAATCCATCTGGCCTATTTAATACGCTTTTGGACAAGTGCAAATGTAACTATGGATATTCCCCGAATGCCACACACAGTAAATAGTCCTAATTTAAGACAATTTATAAGGCAGATCATTTATATAGCACCCCTCATGCAGAGTAGCATCCCAGAGTGCTTGACAGTGGTGGAGCACGACTCTAAGCCGGGGGAGGGGACCTTAGGCACGGTCGAGGAGGAAGGTCTTCAGGCGCGACCTGAAGATGGGGAAGGGCAAGGCGGAGGGATAGAGGAAGAGTGTTCCAGAGTTTCAGAGTGTAGTGGCTGAAAGTGGAACGAGATAGGGATTGAAATTGCAATCAATTGCAGCAACATGACAAAGGAGCTGCTGTTAAATCAGAAATAAGACCATTTACCCAATAAAACTATTCTGAGATAATACTGTTTTAAACATGTCAAACAAACCACACAATTATACTTACTCCATAGAAGAGATTTTTTGCTAGTGTATGAATCAGTATCAACTTGATAAGGGCTATTGATCCATAAAAGACAATGGACACATAGAAATGGGTGTACCAAGACATCGACTGCCCAATGAGAGAGACAAACACTGCAACAATGAGGATGGTGAAAAAGATGGTAAACCAACATATGACTGTGATTCCAATGGCGTAAAGCAGATCCTTCAAATAGTTGCAACCTATTAAAAAGCACAAAAAATACAGCAATGACCATCCCAGAATATAGTGCAAGAGTCAGTAAAATAATCAATGTACATCTTAAAACAGATATAATTATTTTTCTATCTCCACTTTTACTCCCTTGATGGCATTTCATTTCTTATTCCTTTTACAGAGATACAGTTTCATGGGCATTAGCTCCCCTCCGATACCAACACCTAATTGGCCTTCATACATAAATCCGCAGAGATTTCATGTGAAGGATTAAGTAATGTATTTGGTCATTAACGTATTATGCATTATTCTGAACGTTGAAATGGGTTTGAGGTTTGGTCAGACTCACCAAGGCCTTTGGACACGGAGAATTTTTTGGCCAGGTACACTATAGCTGCTGCGGCCACCAAATAGTTGATGATTGCACCAATCCTGGCGGGGTAGGCCACCACAAACAATCCCAGCACGTCAAAGAACACCATGGTTCCGTGACGATATGCCTTCGAGTCAGCCAGCTCCACAGACGTGGCTAGATATTGCAGCACAGCCAGGATATTGTCACCTGGGGTCAACAGAAAAGGGTTTAGATTTATAGTTTGGAAAACACACTGAAAATTGTTGGAGAGAAATTGCATTTCATGTTTAAATTGTCGCCACAGATTACTTTGTTTTAATTAAAAATGAGTTTTGCAGGTTATTAAACTATCTTAGCCATCTTAAGAGAAAGCGCAGAATAGCACATTGTCAAGCAGCAAATCAGAGTGGACCATGATTACATCATTACATCAAGAAGGCTGAATGAATCCAGTGATGCCTCATTCCTCAACAAAATAAAAAGTATTTAACGATTGCACCAAATCACAAAGCTGGGCCAAATGCAAAATATTAGTTCAAATGCAGCTCAGTTGGAGCTGAAACCATGATAAGGTGCATCAGGTTGGTAACACTCAGTTGGTAGCACTCATGCCTCGAGTCAGAAGATCATGAATTCAAGTCCCACATCAGGGACTTGGAACTCATAGTCCAAACTGACCCTCCAATACAGTGCTGGGAGTGAGGCTGCATCGTTGGAGGTGCCATCGTTCGGAAGAGATATTAAACCGAGGCCCTGTCTTCCTGTTCAGGTGAATGTTAAAAGATCCCATTGGCACTATTCAAAAAAGGAAAGGTGTTTCTCCCTGTGTACTAGCCAACAATCTCTCAAATTAAAAAATTGGTCATTCACTTCATGGGTATTTATGGGATATTGCTGTACCAAATTGACACCTGCATTTGCTCACAAAACACAGTCACACAACTTTACACCTTCGAGTCAACCAGTATATTCTGTGAAGTGCTTTGGGACATCCCCCGACACGAAAGGTGTGATAGCAAATCTAAGGATTATTATTGTTTAAAGAGTTTTTATTAAAAAGTCACATTCCTACAGCTAGCTGTACAGAAAGTGTTTACTGTTCCAAAGACATTTACATCTCACCCACCTGCCCTCTGAATGGAATCTAAAGAAATTCGATCTGCTGTGTCGTACTTTGTGTGATAAATGTAGCCATTTTCAATGAAAGCCAGATCGATCCCTGGAAAAGAAAAGACGGAGGTACCAGGTCACAAGACGCTGCCATCTACTCAGTGACATTGATAAATTTGTGTTTTGCCGATATTTACAAAAACACAATCAAATAAAGAAGATCCGAGTGTTTTACCTTTTTATTAAAAACTTTGTGAAAATGTTCAAAAATATCAAAGGAATGTCAAGTCCGATGAAGAAATTGCAATGCAAACAGCAAACTGTCCCAAAAGAGGGACTTACTGACCTGGAATATTGCCAAAATCCCGATAGATTCGGAAATCGGTGTCAGCGGGAATAACCCCACTCTGAAATATCTCTTGACCAACAACTGATGCAAACGGGTGTTTGGCTGCACGGACATATGCCTGAACCAACCAAGGATTTTCAGGCCCTTCAGAAATAACGAAAGAAAACACAAGGAGAATTTTTTAGCTCACAGAAATTAATTCTCTAAAGACCAAATACTGTTGCTTTACAGGAACACCATTTGCTATTCTATTGCCAGGATACTGCCTTTTAAAGAGCTTCTAAATGATCGCACGCCACCCCTTTCGGTTTCCAAAAGCATACAATTAGCAAGTACAAAGGGTATTTTTTTCACACAACAAAAAATATCTGGGTTTTTATTTTGCAAATACTTCAATGGCCCGTTCTAGTACACATTTCATACTTCCTCTGACTTTACCACTGCAGCTCCTTACACTGCCCAGCTCCAAGTGCCTGGTCTTTAAGATCACACAGAGCAAGTTGAAGAGGAAAATAAATTTTAACATCCTGCTGTTGTCCACAATTTAGTGCTCATCATCTCACTGGATATGCATAACCACCCTATAATACTCCAAACCAACTCGATCACTTAAAACAATGGGTTTTACCTGTTTGGAAAACAAGCTCCTTCCCTCCCACGCCAGCAGCCTCTAGGTTAATAAATGCCCTTATCAACTTAGCCCAAGGATGCTGTGTAATAAATCCATGGCTGGCCTGTCAAACAGAAACAAGGGACTACTTTCATTAACAGTCAAAAGGGTTAATGCTGCATTACATTTCTCTCAAACACCTTCCCTCAGGGAGTCCTTCCCCACCTCCAGTGAAACAGGTGAACCACAGACGAGGAACAGTATCAACAACTTGTATTTACATAGCATGCTTCACACAGGATAGCGTCTCGGAGTGCTTTGCAGTGGAGGGATGGACACCAAGCAAGGGAGAAGGTGGATGGGGGAGGTCAACATAGGGACGGTCGAAGAAATGGGTCCCGCAGCATTTGGTAAAAATTTTATTTTAGATTGGTATGTTAAGAGTTCATTTTAATTTAATTTTGCTTAAGCTGTTTTGCTGAATTGTGATTGTGATGAGCGATGAATTCTTGTGAGCGCAGTTCTGGGTGAACGAGGACAAATAAGGTACGATAGCTGAGTAACATTATCACCCTTGTAGTCAAAACCATTAGAATAGGATTGGAATGATGCGTAAATGTTATTGCTATGGGTTTGCCATCATGAAACATGACACTCAACTCTACCTCTCTGCCTCCACCCTTGACTCCAGGACCACTGTTGTGCTGACAAAATGCGCCTTGGGACATTCTCCCAAAGTGAAAGGCGCTATACAAATCTAATTTTGTTGTTGTTGTTGTATACCTTTCTGTATCATGCACACCGCACTATAAAAGCTGTGCAATTAATTGTCACCTGTCTGCGTGAGCTTGATCGTCTCAAGAGTTTTGAACCACACTCACAAATTTCTGAGTTACCAATTAAATTAAATTCATGTAATTGTATCTAAATCACACTAGTCCTTGCCAGGCTGCATTGGCTCTCAATTACCGAACGGATCGACTTCAAGATCCTCTCACATGTTTTCAAATCACTTCATGTCCTTGCACCTCTTCACTATCCAATTTGCTTACCCACCACGCCACCACCCTGCCTCCGCTGGTCCAGCTCCGGCATCCTGTTTGTCCCTCGCCCCCTCCACTCTACCATTGGAGCCGTGCTTTTCAGTCACTACACCCAAAGCTCTGGAACTCCCTCCCTCAGACCCTCCGCCTTGCCCCCTCCCTTCACACTTTCAACTCACTCCTAAAGACCTTCCTTTTTGATCATGCTTATTGTCACCTCCCCGCTCCCTCTTCGCTTGGCTCGGGGACAGACTATACCATTGTCAAGCTCTCCGGGACTCAACCCCACATGAAGGGCTCTATATAAACACAAGTTGATGGTGTTGTTAAATACAGAATTGGCACACTACAGTCAACAGTCCTGTTTGTTCTGTGTCTGTGACAAGTGGCTTATTCTCAGTCAGACCAAATGTAACAAGCCTCACTGAGCCTCAGCACCCATGAGATATGAAGAGAAAAAAGAATTGAATTCCCCATTCCTAGAAGATATCAAGCGACTCCCACTGGAATGAAAAGGTTGCTGATGTCAAGTCAGGGAGGATCACATTTGCCCGCGATGTACCCCAAGGTCAAATAGCTCTTCCTGTTAAGAGTTGTGTATTAAATAATGGTTACTTGGCTAAGATGCAGGAGAAGGAAGAAAAAATAGAGCAAGAAAAAAAGGAAACGTCCTCCCTTGTGTTCTACTGATTTTCAAAACCACATTGCAATCTGAGCAAAATCAGAAAAAAATATCGGAATGCAATGCCCAATAAAATAAATATCTGCTCTTTACAAGTTTTAAATGAATATTTTACAACAATATATGAAACTGGGGAAAATTCACAAATAAATTGTTCCACTTTTAGTAATTTGTTTTAAAAAAAGCTTTCATTTCTTTCGATTTGCAGGTCAATGGTTTAACTTACTTGTAAAACATTCTCCTCTGCTCCATTGAAGAGAAATATGACGGCGTGGTGGAGGGGGGTGGACAGATGGGACAGGGAATTCAGAACCTCCAGCATCACTGCACAGCTCACTGCATCATCACTGGCACCTGCCACAACATGATAAAGGACAATTGAGACGTATCGGATTTCATATATAAAAAAATAAAATCATACTCCAAAGACTTCAACTGGAATAACATCTCTGACGTTTCATTTCATTCGGAAGAGATTCAAAGATATGACGTTTCTCCGGGAGAGCACCTTGAAGATCACAAGGCAGGATTGGGATTGGGGCTTTTAGAAATTAAATGAGAGAAGATAATAATAATTATCCTTGCATTTGATATAGCGCCTTATCACGTTGTTGAGACGTCTCAAAGCTTTTCATAGAATATACTGTAAAGTGAATTGTCTGCATATTCTGTGGGCGAAATGTGGCATCCAATTGCTCACAGCCATGTATCACAAACAGTCGTGGATTGAGTGACCAAATTGTTGGGGGGGTTTTGGAGGTATTATTACCCCCAGAAAGCAATCTGCCAATCGACTAACAACAGGGTGCTTACTTACTAGTACGTAAACAAGAGGTATGTGGATAAGAAAACTTGCCTAAGGTTTCGCCCTGCCCGGGAATCAAACCCAGGTCCTCGCACTTGCAAGGCGAGTGCTCTAACCAATACACTGCAGGACTCCACAAGCTACATAACAGGAAAGCTGCTTAAAGCACTGAATTCCCAGGGGGAGGGGGAAAAGGAGACATCCAAAAAACTGGTAATTCACACTCAAGTTGGCAGGCAGCTACAGGCTTTGGCATTACCTACCCTTGTACAGGAAAAGATTCAACTTTGATACAGATAATTTATTAATCCTGATTGGGGGTGGGGGGTGTTGTAGGACAGCTCTGAGAAATCTGTAAGGTTTGCCTATATAAAAAAAACCTGTATAAAATTGTACACAGAGTTTAGTAAAGTTACTCAACTGCAAATATTTGTGGGTACATGATGTGTAAGTGAGAGAGAAAAAACACCTCATTGTCACCACCCAGTGTGACTAACTCAAAGGTGAATCTTAAGGATAGCCAGACCTGCCAACCAAGTCACACCAGTTGGAAAGAGACGACCCTCATTACATTTGTGGAGTGCATATGTAAATGCTGGAAAAGGAATGTTATCAGCAATCACAGAGTCCAGGTGAATGGATCTAAACTAAAGAAGAAATGTTATCAATAAAATGATGTGTGGTGTGGAGGCCTGAGACAAGTAATGCAACAAATGTAATCAGATGAAATAAGGCAAGTTACCCAATCATCCTATAAATCCATATTTTCTCAACTAACAGATATTATATGAAATAGAAGAACACAAGCAAAAAGAGAAGAGGAAATCAAGAAGACGCAGAAAAGAGTGAGAAAGGAAAGAGAAAATAGACAGAGAAAAAGGAAAATTAGAGTAAGGACAATTCTAGTAAGAGAAGTATGAAATTTGTTAAGGACTTCATTCATGTCATTCCTCACCTAAAATTGTTCCCACCACCAGTCTTTAGTGTATATCATTCACAATGCTTTCTCTAGATACATACATGAAAGGAAAAATCCACCAATGTACTACGGTTGTTTTTTTTTCAATGTCAGTTGAAGTAAAAATAAATTCACAATCTTAGCACTTGACTTCACTGGATTCCTAGTGGCACTGGATAGTTCACATAAAAAGGAGAAAGTGAGTATATTTGGAAGAACGGTGGAGGGGGAAGAGGGGAGAAATAATCATACCTGGACTGTTGGCTACTGAGTCGAAATGACAGTTTGCGAGCACTGCGTGCTTTGCCCCGTGCTTTGGTTCCAGTTTTACTACCACATTACTGATGTTATCGTAATAACTGCCGAATCCCCCCAGAAAGTCAATGCTGAAGGAGCCTGTCGGTCTCTGCACGTCCACTGTGATTTGGTGCGCTGCCCCACCTCCTTCTTTCATCTTCTGTACTTGTTCCAAAAGATAGTTGACGGTCAGGATTTCATTAGCAGGACTCCCAGAGGGTCTGGGACCCAATTCTGTGATGTGTTGAAGGTGTTCTCTGAAAAAGACACAGACACTCAATAGGATTCAACCCTTCAATAAACACAAACATTCCAGGATTATTAAAAAGGGGAAACATAAAAACATAAGAATTAGGAGCAGGAATAGGCCATTCAGCCCCTCGAGCCTGCCCCGCTATTCGATAAGATCATGGCTGATCTTCTGACCTAACTCTAATTACCTGCCCTATCCCCATATCCCCTAATCCCTCTATTTTTAAAAAATCTATCAGTCTCAGCCTTGAAGATGGTCAAGGACTGAGCCTTCTGGAGTAGTCAATTCCATAAATTCACTACCCTCTGAGTGAAGAAATGTTTCCTCAACTCTGTTCTAAAAGGCTGACCCTTAATTTTAAGACTGTGACCCCTGGTTATAGATTCTCCTACGAGGGGAAACAGACCCTCAGTGTCTACTTTATCCAGCCCTTTAAGAATCATAATACAAAATACTACAGATGCTGGAAATCTGAAACAAAAACAGAAGTCACTGGAACTCTCAGCAGGTCAGGCAGCGGCTATGGAGAAAGGAAAGTGAGTCAACGTTTCGAACGTTCTGACGAAGTTTTGTGGACCCGAAGCGTTAACTCACTTTGCTTTCTCCATAGATGCTGCCTTACTTGCTGAGTGTTCCCAGCGACTTCTGTTTTCGTTATTAAAAAGGGAAAGTGGGATTAAAAGATTAGCAAAAACAGACAGAACTGGCTCGCTAGGCTGAATGATCTCCTCCTATTCCTTAACAAAAGGGAATCAACACTTTTAGCTCTCTATTTTGGGAATGTTTCACATAGATTTCAGATGGGGAGAAAACCGTTTCTCAATATTTACAGAATCATTTCTGGCAGGGCCAAACTTTCACTTTTCAGATTTCTTCCTCCTTCAAGAAGTCAGCAAAAGTAGGGTCAAAATGTATATGGAGTGTCAGCTTGGTCAGTTGTTAGCACTCTAGCATCTGGGTCAGAAGATTGTGGGTTTAATACCTGCATCCCACGCCTTTGAGCTCATGCAGCCTAATTTTTAGTTATATACTGGTGAGCGAGGTTAGACCTGCTCACCCCCATTAAATGAATTAGACCGAATGCGTTGTCCAAGGAACAAGGGTTGTCCCCGCAGACAAGCACCAATCCCCCCCAAACTCTTCTAGGCCCCAAATTGTTAAAGGACAATGCGGACCTGAACAATGTCTTCACAATCACCCGAGCAAGTCAGTAGCACGATACTCCACGAATGTGCCGGTGAAACTCTACATTGTCAGAGGTGCCATCCTTCGGTGAGACATTAAACCAAAGCCCTGTCTGCCTGTTCAGGTGGATGACAAAAGATCACAAACGAGTTTCTCCCAGCATCTGGCCAACAATCTCCCAAATAAAATTGGTCACTCACTTCATTGCTGTTTGTAGGGCATTGCGCAAATTGACCGTCTTGTTTGCCTACACTTTACAATATATCCGTAAAGCATTTTGGCGAGACATAATAATAATTCTTGCTTTTGATACAGCACCTTATCACGTTGTTGAGAATCTCAAATTGCTTCACAGAATATATTTTAAAGTGGATTGACTGTGGGCAAAACACAGTAGCCAACTGCGCACAGCAATGTCTCACAAACAGTGTGGATTGAGTGACCACATTTATTTTGGGGGGGCGGTGGAGGGGGAGGGGTTATCATCACCAGAAAGCAATCTGCAATCAGCTAATAACTGGGTTTCTACTTACTGCCAGGTAATCAGAGGCGTGTGGAGTAAGGAAACTTGCCTCAGGGTTTGCTCCACCGAGTCCGCTGGCTTGCAGGGTGAGATCGCTAACCACTATGCTATGGAATTCCACAAAGTCCCATTTATACTAGATTATTATATTTAATATTAGATTATTATACTCAAGGCTTAGGGGCCCACAGAGTGTGTGTTGGGGTACTGCTGAGATCTAACCATTTAAAATTGCATAACTTGCTATTGATATTACTGTCTGGCAGGTTTTCAAGGATGTCTCATCCAAAGGTCGGCCTCTCTGACATTACAGCGCTCCCGCAGCCCGGGGCTGCATTGGAATGTCAGCTTAAACTATGTGATCCTGAGTCCCAACGTGGGGCTTTGAACCCACACCCTCCTGACTCAGAGGCGAGAGCGCTACCACTGAGCCAGGCATACATGATAAAGCAGGTGTCTCAGTTAGGATAGAAGCACCGGGCACTGAGGTCACTGACCCTCCTTATTATACACACAAGCCCACAGACAGGGCAGCCGTGCCAAGAACAGACGGTTTTGCCACGGTCATTCCACTCGGCTTCCCGTTAAGCTTGAAAACCAAAGCCTGAATGGTGGGATGGTCCTAGCTGGACAACAACAACAACAAATTAGATTTGTTTAGCCCCTTTCATGTCGGGAGGACGTCCCAAGGCGCTTGAAAGCTTGCCAGACAGTGATATCAATAGCAAGTTATGCAGTTTTAAATGGTTAGACCTCAGCAATACCCGAATGCACACTCTGTGGGCCCCCAAGCCTTGATTATTGAGAATAATAATCCAATATTAAATATAATAATCTGATATAAAATGTAATATAAAGTATAATAAAGTATAATAATCTAATATAAAGTATAATATAAAGTATAACAACATAAAGTATAATAATCTATTATAAAGTATATTAATACTGAAATCTACATTCCATATTGGATCCTTTGGTTGCAAGTGTAACTGCAATGGGTACGACGAGGAAGCAAAAAGGAAACCCACAATACATAGAAACACATGGAAAAGTGCAGTATCTACAAATGAGGATTTATAATAATCTTTGCATTTTCTAGTATCCTTTCACGTCGAGAAGATGTCTCAAAGCGCTTCACAGAATTTTACAGTGAAGTGTACTGACCGTGTTGCCTCGATTTCTTAGATATTCAACTTGACTTGCAAATCAAAGGAATAAAACCGCAATAACTTCACATATCCCAAACTACGACCATTTGCGCCTTTTTAGAACACTGTAGATCTTTCACATTTTTCAGAAAAATTTAATATCTCTTCTGCATTTTGTTTTAAGTTTTTCCCGTCAGAGAGAGAAAAAAAAACAGGGTTTTGTTTTGCTCTTTTTAAAACTTTTCGCTTTTTTTGGGGGGGGGGGGTGGGGGGCAACTCGTGGAGTCCTGTAGCTCAGTGGTTAGAGCACTCGCTTTGCAAGTGAGAGACCTGAGTTCAATTCCAGGCAGAGGGCGAAACCCTGGGCAAGTTTCCTTACTCCACACAGAGCCTAATAATAATCCCTCCAAAACCAAAAACAATAATAAATTGGTCATTTTCAATCCACGACTGTTTGTGGGACATTGCTGTGCGCAATTGGCTGCCGCGTTCGCCCACAAATATACAGTCAATTCACTTTACAGTGTGTTCTGTGAAGCGCTTTGGGACGTCCTCCCGACGTGAAAAGCGCTATATCAAATGCAAGGATTATTATTATTATTATTATTATTTACTTGTGCAGGCCTGGACAAGTAAATAATAATAATATTTTTGTTTTTTTTTTTGCAAAATTTGTTCAGTGGTGGTGGTGGTGGGGGGGGGGGGGGAAGAGGTGCAGGAAAAAAAAAGCCAAGGTTTTGATTTTCTTCGGCCTTTTTTAAGGTTGATTTATTATTATTTTAGGGTGTGGGGGGGGGGGGGAAGGGACCTATTTTGCAATAAAAAAAATGTTATTGAAACAAAGCGCGGGTGACGGCGGTGTTGTTGTTGTTGTGGTGGTGGCTGTACCTGGCGCGGCCCGCGCTGAAGTGGCTGCTGTTGTCGTTGTCGCTGTTGCTCAGCAGCAGCTGCTGCAGTGAGACCTGCACCAGGCCCCGGACCCCCAGCACATACACCAGCACCAGCCCCGACACCCACAGCTCGGCCCCGGGACCCACACCCACACCCACACCCCCCGCCCTCAGCTCACCGCCCCTCTCCCGGCCCCGGCCCCGGCCTGGACCCGGCCCCCGCCCCGGCCCCCGCTCCCCTCCCGCAGCCGAGCGGCCACTGCGGACCCGCATCCCCGAGTACAGCTCTCCCCCCCCGCCTCCAGCCCCAGCCATCACCCCCACCCCACTGACCCCTCACCCCACACCCCCACTGACCCCTCACCCCTCACTGACCCCTCACCCCCACACCCCCCTCACTGACCCCTCACCCACACACCCCCCACTGACCCCTCACCCCTCACACACACACACACACTGGCTGTGTGTTACTGGTGACTCTGTATCTCTGTGTGTGTCTCTGTGTGTGTGTCTGTGGGTGTCTCTGTGTGTGTGTGTCTCTGTGTGTGTGTGTGTCTGTGTGTGTGTGTGTCTCTGTGTGTGTCTCTGTGTGTGTGTGTCTCTGTGTGTGTGTGTGTCTCTGTGTGTGTGTGTGTCTCTGTGTGTGTGTGTCTCTGTGTGTGTGTGTCTCTGTGTGTGTGTGTGTCTGTGTGTGTGTGTGTCTCTGTGTGTGTGTGTGTGTGTCTGTGTGTGTGTGTGTCTCTGTGTGTGTGTCTCTGTGTGTGTGTGTGTGTCTCTGTGTGTGTGTGTGTCTCTGTGTGTGTGTGTGTGTGTCTGTGTGTGTGTGTGTCTCTGTGTGTGTGTCTCTGTGTGTGTGTGTCTCTGTGTGTGTGTGTCTCTGTGTGTGTGTGTGTGTCTCTGTGTGTGTGTTTGTGTGTGTGTCTGTGTGTGTGTCTCTGTGTGTGTGTTGTCTGTGTGTGTGTGTGTGTGTGTGTCTCTCTGTGTGTGTGTGTGTGTGTGTGTGTCTCTGTGTGTGTGTGTGTCTCTGTGTGTGTGTGTGTGTGTGTGTCTCTCTCTGTGTGTGTGTGTGTGTGTGTGTGTCTCTGTGTGTGTGTGTGTCTCTGTGTGTGTGTGTGTCTCTGTGTGTGTGTGTGTGTGTGTGTGTGTGTGTGTGTGTCTGTGTGTGTGTGTGTGTGTGTGTTCTCTGTGTGTGTGTGTGTGTGTGTGTGTGTGTGTGTCTCTGTGTGTGTGTGTGTGTCTGTCTCTGTGTGTGTGTGTCTCTGTGTGTGTGTGTGTGTCTCTGTGTGTGTGTGTGTGTGTGTCTCTGTGTGTGTGTGTGTCTCTGTGTGTGTGTCTCTGTGTGTGTGTGTGTGTCTGTCTCTGTGTGTGTGTGTGTGTCTGTCTCTGTGTGTGTGTGTGTCTCTGTGTGTGTGTGTCTCTGTGTGTGTGTCTCTGTGTGTGTTGTGTGTGTGTCTGTGTGTGTGTGTGTCTCTGTGTGTGTGTCTCTGTGTGTGTGTGTGTGTCTCTGTGTGTGTGTGTGTCTCTGTGTGTGTGTCTCTGTGTGTGTGTGTCTGTCTCTGTGTGTGTCTCTGTGTGTGTGTCTCTGTGTGTGTGTGTCTCTGTCTCTGTGTGTGTGTGTGTGTCTGTGTGTGTGTGTCTGTGTGTGTGTGAAGAGAAAGCAGAGTCAGGCTCAGTGATGTGGTGTCCTCCCTGTGTCAGTGGGGCACAGACTGCAGCCCTGTGTGGAGTTACACTCTCACACACACTCACCACAGCCGGTGATGGTTGGGTAAGAATAGTGATGTGAGGCGGTCAGGAAGTGGGGTATTGGGAGGGACTTGTATGTGAGGAAAGGAAATGGAGAGGAGGACAGTTGTATGTTGGGATTTGATGTAGTCAATGGCCTTTGGTTCGGGATAAATGAAACATAGCCCAATGTAAACAAGGGGAAAGGAGAGGAAAATATTACATCAGAAAACCTGAAAAAGTGTTTTGCCAAATACCTTAAACTGCAACAGAAGATAGGTGGGCAAAAGGGAACATTCATTTGGCTATCCCGTATGAAGGGCACTATATAAATGCAAGTTGTTGTTGTGTTACTGCATGTGTCAGACACCTGGCTGACCCAAAACAAATAGCATTCAGAACGCTGAACTATAACCAAAGGGTTTTTTCCGCAAGAAACAGAGCAACTGAACCACAAAAAACTAGCCCAGTATTTCATGTAGGTCTGTTATATATATGAGTGATTACTTCCTCAATGAATAATCACGTGTGTGCATGCATCTGAATACAACTGTACAGAGACTGTCAAGCAAAGACACTACTTGCAAAGAAGGGTTAAATGTATGGCAACTGGTTGGGTTGAGAATGTTAAAGCTAGAAATGCAATGAATCTGGTTGACTCTGGTTCCTGTTTTTCTTGTTAGAGCTGGACACAGATACAGAGAGAGAGACAGACAAACACAGACATTGACTTAATTTTTCTTGCGTGACTACAACAAAAATAAACTTGTATTCTACCACTGCTTAAACACTCCCCTGGTGTGGGAATGAAATTCTCCCCCTCCCTCCCAAATATAGCTAAGGCTAAACTAAATAAAAACGATATCAAATTTTTTTTCACAAGGAACTGCAAAACTGAACAAAAAAAAGACCAGCCCAGTAGTAGGAAAAATATCTCATGTACATCAATCAGTATCTATAAGAATAATGACTTTGTCAATGAGTAATCACGTGTGTGCATGTAGAGTTTAAATAGTAAAATTGACTTAAAATGAAGCTCTTATTTCATTGACTAAATTCTAAAATTCTGTATATCGTGAAGTTTTCAATTTACATTTCTTCAGTTATTTGCCCTCTACCCCCACACTATTAATATAAATAAAAAGATTGGATGCCACAATGCCTTTTAGTATGAGGATCTGGTTTCACACCTACCTACAAATGAATGGGTGAAAGTTTCCTTTTCGCTTACTATAAGTATGAGTCTGATACTCATATACTGAGACCTTCTCAATCCAATTCCAAGTGAATGTGAGCGCACTACACAAAATTGTAAGTATGAGAAATAGGAAAGATATCCTGTTACCACAGAAGTGCTTTAGAGTCTGTGACAAGGGCATATTATTGGTTCAGGAAGAAATGTATTCTGCATTTGATCCAGTCACGTATGATGAGGGCAATGCTTAATCCTGGTTTTGGATCCCCCCAAAAATTGTTCCATTCCCAAACTGCAACAACAACAACAAGTTACACTTGTATAGCACCCATCACGTCAGAAAGACATCCCAGGGCGCTGGACAGTCAGGGGTTTTTGGACCCGAGTTGGGAGTTGGGGTCAGGACGGGTGGAGGGCAGTGGGGTGGGGGAGGGAGGGTGGCTGAAGGCACAGTCGAAGAGGAAGGTCTTTAGACAGGAATCAAAGGAGGCAAGGTCAGGACGGGTGGAGGGCAGTGGGGTGGGGGAGGGAAGGTGGCTGAAGGCACAGTCGAAGAGGAAGGTCTTTAGACAGGAATCAAAGGAGGCAAGGTAGGGGTTGAGGCATAAGGATTGCGGAATAGAGTTCCAGAGCGTGGGGGCAGAGACGCTGAATGCCCGACCGTCAATCGTGAGGCGGGAAGTGTGAGGAAGCTGAAGCAGGCCGGTGTCTGCCGAGTGGAGGGAGTGGACAGGCTGATATGGGGTTAGGAGGTTGGAGAGATAGGGGGAGCAAGACCATGAAGTGCTTTGAAGGTGAGAACTCAACATCTAATCTTGAGCACAAATATTCAAAACACAATTAAAACTACTGTATAAAGCAAACAGAGTTGTCGGTCAAAATCAGTAGCTTAAAAGCATTGAAATTTTTCCGCACTGAATTTTCCTAGAAGCCACATATAATAATAATAATAATCCTTGCATTTGATACAGTGCTTTTCACGTATTCTAGACGTCTCAAAGCGCTTCACAGAATATACTGTAAAGTAAATTGACTGTATATTTGTGGGAGAAACACGGCAGCCAATTGTGCACAGCAGTGTCCCACCAACAGACAAATGTAATTGTTTTGTTTTGTCTTGAGGGATTATTATTAGGTGTGTGGAGTAAGGAAACTTGTCCAAGGTTTCACCCTGCCGGGAATCGAACCCAGGTCTCTTGCTTGCAAGGTGAGTTCTCTAACCACTGAGCTACAAGACTCTACATATTCCGAGTCACAGGACATGAAAAGAAATCTGGAGTTGAGAATAAAGGAACAAAAAAGTGAAGATTTTTACCATTATATTCAATTTCTTTGAAGGGATTAACAGCGCTAGGCATTTCAAATTAAACTTCTACCAAATCATGTGGCTCAATAATTTACATTGTTAGAGTGAATTTTGAAGGTTCTTAGGAAAGCTACTGATAGAATTGCCCCCAACTGGAAATTGGCTCAGTTATAGTTGAAATTCAGTTTGCAAAATGTTGAGCTTTTTCCAGATGAGTCATGGAAACAAAGATAAGATAGTGGGGAAGATGGAGTGATGAACATACAGTAAAACTCGCATAAGTCTGACCTGTATAAATTATGATCGCCTAAGACGTGTGTCTGCCCAATTCCCGTTGAATTTCCTCTTCAATCCACTTAAATGTATCCGCACTAATCTTATTAATAATCCTGCAACTGAGAAAGGAAAGAGTGTCACCAGATCACGTGGAGAGCGAGGGGGGATGGTAAGCATGCCTGATCGTGTGGTGAGCGAAGGCTATAAGAGCAGTACTGTACTCACTTGCCTGACACCCAACTCTATCTCTCTGCCTCCACCCTTGATTCCAGGACAATTGACGCCCTGACAGACTGTCTGTCTGATATCAAGTCCTGGATGAGAGCCAACTTTCTACAGCTGAATGTCAGCAAGACCGAGGCCCTCCTGATTGGCTCTCACCAGCACCTCCGCACCTCAGGCACTGGCAACATCAGGATCCACGGAATCACATTCCATCTCACCAATCCAGTCAGGAACCTAGGCATCCTGTTCAACCCTCAACCACCATCCACAAGCTGCAGATCATCCAGAACTCTGCAACTCATGTCCTCTCCTGCACCAGGCTCCATGACTCCATCACCCCCACCATCGCCCGGCTCCACTGGCTCTCCATCCCTCAGAGGATAGAATTCAAAATCCTCATCGTCACTTTCAAGGCCCTCCATGGCCTTGCCCCCTCCTACATCTCTGACCCACTAACTCCCTATCAACCTGCCCGCTCCCTCCGTTCAGCAGGCTCCGGCCTGCTCCATGTCTCCAGCCCGACCCCCCCAACCATCGGCGGTCGGG